ATAAAACAAGAGGAAAATAGGAGAACTTTCTAAAAACCAGCTGTCTACAAACCATGTAAAACCATCCTATTTATATGCCCTGCTGACGCGTCCACCCAGCTACATCTATGACCAATTTATTAAATTATTCTGCCATCATTTCCCCATTGTTCGCGTCTCAATCTTCGCGTTCACCTCCCGATTATCCCCACAACAATACTTACTGAAAATGGTATGGAGGATTGCTATGTTCGGATAGACCAGGTTAATGAACATACAGTATACAGTATAGGTGTACTCATGAAAATTTGGTGAAGTAAAGATTAATTTTTTAATAAGAATATATAAAATCTATCTTTAAATAAGGTTGAGCGATAGGAAGTTTAAACTTTGCAATGATAATACAATTTATAATGTAAAAGTTTTTATTGTCCGTAGCGTAGGACTACTGTATTAATTATTCTGCAGACTTTGAAAATTCTGGTCACGGCGATTTCTGCCCGTCCCGCCACGTGATGTACGACATGTGACGTTATTAATTTAATTAAGTGATTAAATTATTGATTGTCATTTTCGGCAAATAATTTTCCTAAAATTCAACATCAACCATAAAGAGGACAATTCCATTGTATATGATATGATAATAATTATAATTTAAAATAAATAATACTCTATGTATGAATGAATGAATTATTGTTTTTTTCTTCGATTAAGGTTGTTCGAAGTACAATTTGAACTTTCAACATAAGTCCGAATGTTTCTTTCATTATAATGCATCAAATATTTGTTCATTGGTGTTGTAGCTGCGGTCATATTGCCGTTGGTACTGATGTAAATTGTTTGATGTGTCGTTACTTGCAAATTAATCGAAAAGGACTTAAACTTGATGTGTTTATTTGCAAATAAATTGAAGCAAACTTTTGTTCTCCACTAAGGGAAAACAAATGACTTATCAAATACATATCTTTTTTGGTCCATTGTTTATTATCAAAGGGTGATGACCTAAAGATCAGGTTTTAACCGATGTGCTATACATTATATGCGCTACAATAAACATACGCCCGAAGCTCATGTTTTATTAGTAAAAAAAGAGTGTTTTACATACGTATCAATTATAAGTTCCATGAATTCCGGAAAACGACATCGATCAAGAATACAGTATAATTGCGCATTGCTGCCGGCGTATTATGACATAAAAGTTAAATAACAAAGGATTTATGTGAATATTTTATTAAACAGGATGTCATAAATTGTACTTTGATCACACTTTATTCCACATGATTCATTTCTTTCAATATGCCCGTGACGAAATACTCAAGTTTAAAACCTCGTGGGTAAATTCCGACAAAGTATTGCCGGAATTAACTTTCCATTACATTGTATGTTGCAAAATGCTACACTTAATATGGTTCATTCAATTTATCATAAAGAAAATTTGTCTACCGTATATATTAAACAATCTCGGTTTATGGTAATATAAATAATGAAGAACGGAAATAGTTCATTAATGTCGAAAGGAGAAATATTGTACTTACTGGAAATGCATTAAAACCAAAGATCGTACTACTCACATTATGTAATAATTAAAATCCAAACGTGCCTATTGTCCTTTTTAAACGTTTATTTTATCAATTAAAATATTAATTGTTCAAGTGTAAATCGACAATTTTGGTTAGCGTAATAAACACGTGTACTGTACTGTGCTGATAAAATTCCGAGATTTGTTCACCCAAGTTTTTTATATTAGATGTCACGTATATTCTTTAGATCTCGCATTTCTGTTTTAGTAATTTTTTGATAAGTAATGCGCATGATTATTTCAAACGCAGAGAACGGTAGATATTATTTGTATTATTAATCGATTATGTAATATTAATCTTTAGGAAAATCAATCTTCTCTTGAATGTCTCGGAACTTTATCTTTTTTTAAAGAGAAATAATTAAAATCAACGTTTATGTACTTTATGGAATCGGCAGGATATCTGTTTAATATACATTTATGGCCTTTCATATTTCTCTTCACCCAAATTATAACTTACTTAATGTATTACTCTATTATCAAAGGTATAAATTAACAAGCATTTAATGCCTTGTGTCCAAATGTATATAAACGAGCGTTTTGATGTTTGCAAATGAATAATAAATAATAATCATCATCTCTTTAAAAATGACAATCAGAAAAAATCGTCGTGCTCCCATTAATAAAATTAAAAAAACTCACCAGTCCGGTGCCATTAAAAGAAAAAGAAAGATTTGTGCTTTTGAATTATTCTCCAAGGATGTCCATGGTCACATGAATAAATCCAATAAGCATAAAGTCAATAAAAACAAATCCATTCCGAAAGCGGCCAAACTTTGGGAAAAGATTCCAATTGAACAAAAAAATCAATATGAAATTCGTGCACATAATTCCTTAGATCACGAATTTCAAATTACTGTTTTTGATTCTCATCCGACTAATCATCATAATAGAGTAGCAACCGATGCACCTATTGAAGTTGCGCAGACAGAAACATTATTCATACCCAGTGAATCCTCGTCAATCGAACCACCTACTGAGCTCGTATCAGCTCCTGTTCTCCCATTGTTTAATACGTTCTCACCGTACACTATCGATTTCACACCACCTTCAACTGATCTCACATTGTTTACTACTGATTCTGCACCGGTTATTATCGGTCCCACGCCGTCTATTATCGATCCCGTACCGTTCATTACTACTGACCACGCCCCATCTACTACTGATTTCGCACTGTTTGATACAAATCCCACACCTGATTACTACCAACCCTCTATCGGATTTTTCCCTGATCGCTACACCGTTATTACCGATTCCGCGGCGAATTTCAGTGACACATTCATTCCCATGAATTTTGATTGTTACGAATATTGATATGTTTTTAGTTAAAGGAAAACTTCGAAAATTAATAAAAAAATTTTAACCTATCTTATCATCTTTAAGAAAAGAGCAATGTTTAAGATTTGATTTCTAAGTTTTATGTGCATTCATTATTGTGTATGTTATGTAAGAATAATTTATGATCCATTTACTGTATCTATGATTAATTATGCAATTTTTACAAAAGCAAAAACAACAGAGTTATATGAAATTAAAGAATTGACACAATACATTAATTTGATAAAGAAACATTATATCACCACCAAAATTTTCGTTAAAATAATACTCCACTTGTCTCTATCATCTGCTACATTAAAAACTATGCTAATAATACGTGTATAGTGTTGTCGTCACCGGCGAGTCTATCGCCAAAACGGCCCACTCTTCGCGTGACAGTAATCCAAATCATTGGATTATAACGATAAATAAGGTAAGGCTTTAACTCTTTAACTCCGAAGCGTGTTACAATTTGACCATCTCTTCTAGGCGCGTCACAAGATTACAAGTGTCCTTCCACACAAGACAAATGTAACAACGGTTTCTTTCTCTTAAAGTCTGTAACTTGGTTATCGCGTCGTTAGTCGTTAAACTACTTTTTGGGGTGTATAAACTTGTATTTATCGTGCAAAAGGAAGTAACATTTATTTAAAAAAGAAGGGCGTTCCCAAAAACTAAACTCGAACTATAACTACAATTGACTATCTTTTACAAATTTTGTAAGACTATCCTATTTATATGCCTCGTTGACGCGTCCACCCAACTACACGCCATTACAAAGTTATTACAGTACATTATTCTGCCATCACTGTTACTATTGTTACGCGACGCTCTTCAATGTCGTGTTCCCATCCCTATTGCTCCCACAACAATATCATTTACTTGGAAATAACGTCAATTCTCACGCACACAGGTTGACGCACAAGTACCGTATGGATGTTGCACGGGTGATGTACAGGGAACACTACCCCTGTTATCTAAAACAACAACTTAAACTCTGCTAGCTGTATGTGAGTCACTCTGAAAAGTTTTCGTTAGTTCTGTTCGAATTTGTTCAAGGCCTAAATCATGAAATTGTACTTTGTCCGATTCAATCTCAGATGAATATGATCTTTTCATGCCACACGTCATAAAATTCGAAGCTTGACAATCAATTATAGGTGATTTTCAAGCTGCTTATATGTAACAGTATACTGTATAAGGCTAGTAACCTTTGTGATGAGACGTTAATCACATGACTGATCACCGCGAAAGTACTGCAAAAGTCCTGCTCTTAGTTGGAGGAGGGATGGACTATGAAAAGAATTCTGATTTATTTTTGGTCCTGACATCATATTTTGATTATTATTAAGGTTGATTTATGCCTTAGCCAGTATAAATAAAAGGATGTATTAGAAAGAAGTGAAAATTCATAGTCATAGACCTCCACAAATGTTACGCGAAACTCTGCTGAATTTCAGCCGAAAGACTATAAAACTCTCATTAAAAAAGTTGAAATAAGTAATATACTTTATATTTGTGGTATTAATAATTTTATCTTTGGATAATGTGAGTCAATAAAATACTTTTATATAATAATTATTTACTATGGATTATGTGATGATTTATGATAATACTGTATATTAATACAAATATACAATTTTATTATATACTACGGATAAAATTAAAAATCAAATTATTTAATTATTTAATTGACGAAAAATAAACAGATGGTTAAGTAATTTTTATCATCATCAACATCATTGTTTGAATTTATAAAAATCATCAAGACTTTCAACTTTACTGAAACAATTTATTTTAAATATCATCAGGTTTACATAATAACTTGATATCAACAATCACATCTTTATTTTAATTATGCCAATTGATTTTTAATATGCTACATTATTATTACCATTACATTATATGATTAAATTTAATAAAAATTTATTTATTTATGATTAATAAAAACTCCTAAATTTATTTTTTTTATAATTATTATGATTTATATTTATTATATACAAAAAATATATATTTTAAACATATACATACTGTATATAAATATTTTGAAATTATAAAATAAACTTTTATTTTATTAACAAACCATTTTAATTTTACTTAAATAAATTATCATTACTTATTATTATTATTTAATTTTATTAACTTTAAAATATTATTAATTTTATATACTTTGAAAACTTTAATACATTATATTAACCATTTTAATTTAATATTTTTTGTTATTGTTTTTTTTAAAAATAAAAATAAAAATATTATTATTATATTTTTTATTAATATTATGAAATAATTAAAAAATAATCGTAATAATTATTCTATACAATACTTTTTATAAACATTTCAGCTTCCCCTCTATAAATTATTTTCAATTTCAATAGTTTAATTAAACATCACTTATGCAATATTATTAGTGAATTGTTTATTATACCATAACATGAAGAAAACATTTTTTAATTTATTGATAACTTTTCTATTTTTTTTCTTATTTCAATACTTTAAAGAATTAATTTTTATTAACAATATTACTTTTAACTTTATCAAAACAAGATTTTTACAAATTATACAAGAATTAATCCAATTAGTTCAAAACATTCTTTAAATAATTTCTTATATATAATATTGAATATTATTTACTGGTGTTCTTCAAATTATATCATAGATGTAATAATTTTTTTTACTTTTATTATACTATATACTATGTAACTAAAAACTTTTAAAATATCTTGAAATATTCTAAAACTTCTTAAAACCTTGCAGAACACTCTAGTACATTCCAAATATTATAGAACTTTTTGGTATATTATTAATTATTGTGTTTTATTATATTTATACTTATTTAAAAAACAAAACATTATTATTATTATTATTATTATTATTATTATTGGAGTGAAAGATATTTTGTACATATATATTTTATTGAGTTATTTATATCCAATTATATATATATTAAGATCTGTCCATTTAAGTTAATCTTGCTTTATATCTAAAGATTTATCCAGTGTATCAATTGAATATTATAAAGATAAATCCATACTATACATGTGGTATAAATTATTTACTGTTGACTCAATTCCCAAAATCTTCAAAAATAATTATATCATGACTTAATTATTTATATATTTTAATAATAACTCAATTAATTGTATCAAATAATTGCATTAATTATATTAAGGATCTACAAATTTCAGTAACATGTATAATCCATATCTAAAGTTCTTAAAAGTATCATTTCAGTATCAAGTCGGTACTAGATTTACTATAAGTTTAATATAGTGGATTACAATCCATATATTAACTTTATTATAAGTCAGTACCAAGTCAGTACCATTTTGGTATTTGGTTTGGAACCCTATCCATATCCTAAATGAGATCTTTAGAAAATAGAAATTCTATCATTAGACAAAACATTATTATTAAGTACATGTAATATTTATTATATTATTATTTTTCTTTTATTTTATATTTATGATATATAAGACCTTTTAAAAGAATCAATAAAGATATATACAATATATTAATAATATGTATTTCTATTTATATATATTTATAGATTATTTATATAATGAAAAATTATTATTTAAAGGGAATCTTTTATTTTTATAATAACTCAAATAAGGATAGGTCCCTAAACTATTTAGCATATAAAATTTCACAGATCAATTATGTTCTTTTTGAAAGGACATAATTATTTATTCATTACTTTAATAAGGACATAATTCAAAAAACACTTGAATCAAGTGTCCTAAATTGCAAA